GTATTCCCACTTGTTTATTTTTGCTTTTGTTGCCTTTACTTTTGTTGTCAAATCCAAATATTCATCACCAAGACCAATGTCAAGTAAGTTACCACCCATGTTTTCTTCTAGGGTGTTTTATGGCTTCAGGCCTTACATTCAAGTCTTTAACCATTTTGAATTAATTTTTATGTATGGTATAAGATAGTGGTATAGTTTCAATCTTTTTAAAAAAATATTTTATTTATTTATTTGACAGAGAGAGGGAGACTGAGCAAGTGCACAAGCAGGGGGAGTTGGAGAGGGAGAAGCAGGCTCCCCCTGAGCAGGGAGCCTGATGCAGGACTCTATCCCAGGACGCTGGGATCATGACCTGAGCCAAAGGCAATTGCTTAACCAACTGAGCCACCCAGGTGCCCCTAGTTTCAATCTTTTATATGTGGCTGTCCAGTTTTCTCAGCACCATTTATTGAAGAGACCGTCCTTTTACCACTGTATATTTTTGCCTTTTTTGTTGTAAACTAGTTGATCATATATGTGTGGGCTTATTTCTGGGCTCTCTGATCTGTTTCATTGATCTATGTGTCTGATTTTATATTGTCTTGATTACTCTTGCTTTGTAATATAGTTTAAATCAGAGATCATGATGCCTGCAGCTCTGTATTTTTGTCAAGATTTCTTTGACTATTTGGGTCTTTTGTGGTTCTATACAAATTTTAGGGTAGCTCTATGAAAAATGCCATTGGAATTTTGATAGGGATTGCATTAAATTTGTATATTTCTTTAGATAATATAGACATTTTAGTTACATTAATTATTCCAAGCCATGAACATGGAATATCTTTCTATTTATTTGTGTCTTCTTCAATTTCTTTCATCAGTGACTTTCAGTTTTCAGGGTACATGTCTTTCACCTCTTTGGTTGTTTATTCCTAGGTAGTTTATTCTTTTTGATGCAGTTATAAATGAGATTGTTTTCTTAATTTCTCTTTCTAATAGTTTGTTGCTAGTGTATAGATACACAAATGATTTTTGTATATTGATTTTGTACCCTGCCACTTTACTGAATTTATTTATGCTAACAGTTTTATGTGTGTGTATGTGTGTGTGTGTGGTGTCCTTAGGGTTTTCTTTATATAAAATAATGTCATTCACAAAGTGACGGTTTTATTTCTTTGTTTTCAATTTGGATGCTTTTTTTTCCCTTGCCTAATTGCTCTGGCAAGGACTTCCAATACTATGTTGAATAAAAGTGGGGAAAGTGGGCATCCTTGTCTTGTTCCTGTCATCATTGTTATTATGTTGAGGTATATTCCATCTACACTTTGTTGAGAATTGTTACCATGAATGGATGTGGAATTTTGTCAAATGCATTTTATACATCTACTGAGATGATCATATAATTTTTATCCTTCATTTTGTTAATATGGTATATCATGTTGAATGATTTGCAGATGTTGAATCATCCTTGCATCCCTAGAATAAATCTCACTTGGTCATAGTATGTGATCCTTTTAATGTATTGTTGAATTCAGTTTGCTCATATTTTGTTGAGATATTTGCATCTATGTTCATCAGGGATGTCGTCCTGTAATTTTTTATGAGTGTGTGATGTCCTTGTCTGCTTTTGATATTAGAGTAATGCTGGCCTTGTAAAATGAGTTTGAACATATTCCCTCCAATTTTTTGGAATTTTGGGAAGCATAGATATTAAAGTATTTGGTAGAATTCACCAGTAAAGCCGTTCAGTCTCCTTACTAGTATTGGTCTATTCAAACTTTTTATTTCTTCCTGATTGTCTTAGAATATTATATGATTGTAAGAATTTATGTATTTCTTCTAGATTGTCCAATTTTTTGGCATATAATTGTTGATCATCTCTTAAATGATCCTTTGCATTTCTGTGGTATCACTTGTAACTTCTCTTTCATTTCTGATTTTATTATTTTATTTTTTTGAGCCCTTTTTTTTTTCTTGGTGAGACTAGCTAAAGGTTTGTCAATTTTGCTTATCTTTTCAAAGAACCAGTTTTAGTTTTATTGATCTTTTCTATTTTATTTTATTTTATTTATTTCTACTCTGATCTTCATTATTTATTTCCTTCTACTAACCATGGGCTTTTTTTGGTTCTTATTTTTCTAGTTCCCTTAGGTGTAAAGTTAGATTGTTTATTTGAGATTTTTCTTCTTCTTTTTTTTTGGGGGGGTGGGTAGGCCTGTACTGTTATGACCTTACCTCTTACACCATTTTTTGTTGCATTCCATAGATTTTGGTATCTTTTATCTCCATTTTAATTTGTCTCTAGGTGTTTTTAAAATTTTTTCCCTTTGACTTCTTTATTGACTCAATGGGTTGTTAAATAGCATGCTGTTTAACATCCACATATTTGTGCTATTTCCAGTTTTCTTCCTGTAACTGATTTCAAACTTTGTACCTTTATGGCCAGGAAAGATGCTTGATATGATTTCAGTCTTCTTAAATTTATTGAAACTTGTTTTGTTTCTTTTTTTTTCAAATATTTTATTTATTTATTTGACAGAGAGAGCGAGAGAACACAAGCAGGGGGAGCAGTAGAAGGAGAGGGAGAAGCAGGCTTCCTGCAGAGCAGGGAGCCCGATGCGGGGCTCGATCCCAGGACCCTGAGATCATGACCTGAGCCTAAGGCAGATGGTTAACCATCTGAGCCACCCAGGCGCCCCAAAACTTGTTTTGTTTCTTAATATGTGACCTATCCTAGAGAATATTTCATGGACACTTGAAAAGAACATGTATTCTGCTGCTTTTGGAGGAAATCTTCTGTACATATCTGTTATGTCTGTCTCATCTAATGTGTTGTTTAAGGCCAATATTTCTTTATTGCTTTTTGTCTGGATGATCTATCCATTGATGTAAATGGGGTGTTAATGTCCCCTACTGTTACTGTATTGCTATCATTGTCTCTCTTTACGTCTGTTGATATTTGCTTTATATATTTAGGTGTTTTTATGTTGGGTGGTTTTTTTTAAAGATTTTTATTTTTATTTATTTGACACAGAGAGAGAGAGAGCACAAGCAGGGGAAGTGGCAGACAGAGGGAGTGGGAGAGAGCCCGATGATCAGAGGACCCTGGGATCATGACCTGAGCTGAAGGCAGGCGCTTAACGACTGAGCCACCCAGGCGCCCCTATGTTGGATGTTTTATGTTAGGTATTTTTATGCCATATATATTTACAAATGTTGCATCTTCTTGTTGGTTTGACTTTTTTATAATTCTGTAATGCCTAATGCCCATCTTTGTGTCTTACTACAATCTTTGTTTTAAATACTATTTTGTCTAATACAAGTATAGCTACAACCAGATTTCTTTTCATTTCTATTAGCATGGGATATCTTTTTCTATCTCTTCACTTTCAGTCTGTGTATGTTCTTATATCTGAAGCGAGTCTCTGTAGGCAGCATATAAATGAACTTTTAAAAAAAAAATCCATTCAGCCATTCTATGTCTTTTGATTGGAGAATTTAGTCCATTTACATTTAAAGTAATAATTGATAGGTTTGTACTTACTGTCGTTGTGTTAATTGTTTTCTGGCTGTTTTTGTAGTTTCTCTCTGTTCCTTTTTTCTTCTCTTGAAGTTTGATGATTTTCTTTAGTGTTATGTTAGATTCCTTTCTCATTTTCTGTTGTGAATCTACTATAGGTTTTGCCTTGTGGTTACCTTGAGGTTCAAATATAACATCCTATATGTATAATAGGTGATTTTAAGTTGACTGCAACTTGAGTTTGAACTCATTCCAAAACTCTCCATTTTTAATCCCCTTCCCATGACTTATGTTTTTGATGTCACATTCAGTATCTTTTTTTTATGTATCCCCTAACTAATCATTGTAGCTTTACTTAATTTTATTACTTTTATCTTTTAACCTTCATACTAGCTTTATAAATGATTAATTCACTACCTTTACCATAAATTTATCTTTACCAGTGAGATTTTTACTTTTGTATGTTTTCTTGTCATTAATTAGTGCCATTTCTTTTGCTTAAAGAAGTCCCTTTAACACTTCTATTAAGGCCAGTTTAATGTGATGAATTCCTTTAGCTTTTGTTTGTCTGGACACTTTATCTCCCTTTTAATTCTGAATGATAATCTCGCTGAATAGAGTATTCTTAGTTGGCAGGGCTTTTTTTTTTCCTTCTTTCCCTTTCGGCCCTTCAAATATATTGTGCTTCTCTCTTCTAGCCTGCAAAGTTTCTGCTGAAAATTCTGCTGATGGTCTTTTGGGACTTTCTTCATATATAACAAGATTTTTTCCCCCTCTTGCTGCTTTTAATAATCTCTCCTTGTCTTTAACTTTTGACATGTTAATTATAATATGTCATGTTGTGTGCCTCTGTTTTGTCTCATTTGCAACTCTCTGGGCTTTCTGGATCTGGGTGTCTATTTTTTTCCCCAGGTTAGGGAAGTTTTCAACCAATATTTCTTCAAATAAGATTTCTACCCTTTTTGCTCTCTCTTCCTCTGGGAGCCATATAATGAGAATGTTAGTCTATTTGATGTTTTATAAGTTTCTTAAACTATCTTCACAATTTTTCATTCTTTTTTTTTCTTTTTTCTGCTTTGATTGTGTGAGTTCCACTGTGCCATCTTTAAGCTGACTTATCCTTTCTTCTCTTTCATCTAATCTACTCCAGAACCCTTCTAGTGTGTTTTTAAGTGCAGTCATTATTCTTCAGCTCTGTGAATTCTGTTTGGTACTTTCTTATATTTTGTATGTCTTTGTTGAAGTTTTTACTGTGTTCATTCATTCTGCTCCCCAGTTTGGCAAGCATTTTTTATTACCAGTGCTTTGAAATCTTTATCAGGTAGATTACTTCTCTTTATTTACTTGGTTATTTATTGCTTGTTTCATGGCAGATGCTCTCTGGTGGGCATCAATGTGCAAAACAACAGTTTTCACATTTTGTGTCCTTTTCCTTAAATCTATCTGCATGCTTCCTTCCTGGCTCTTTTTGATTTTGATATTCCAATTTTTCTTTTTGCAGGCTCCTGAGAAATTATCCAAGTGATATTCACCATTGCTCATGAGTCCACATATATTCTTACCATGGGCCACTTCTCTTTCCACACAAAGTGGATGATCAGGTAACCTACCTCAAATTCTGCCCATTGGGAGGATTTTCCTTCACAGCTGTCACTCAGTGCCATATTAAGTGGGACTATGTAGCAGTAGTCCATTTTCATGGACTTCCCACCCATATTGAGACCCCCACATGCCGAGACAACTCATCCATACACTAAGCTCAGATTGTTTTCTTCTTCCCTTAGTTGTCCTTATGGGATATCTTCCACATGTGCACATGCATACACACACACACACACACACGTACTCTGAGGAAGAGGCATTGGTGCAATAGTAGTGGATGACAAAGATCTATACTGCACATTCGTGCAGCTTACTTGTGCCCTGTGACACTGTTCATGCCTGATAATGCCAGGTATACCATTTCCATTTTATAGTGAATTGCTATTGGGTCCATCCAATCTTAGGATTTGGTGAGTCAAACAGAACTAAGCTCATGATAAATCGTTCTAGCAGCATGGTCAGTTGATGCCACATATTCAAGTGCTCTGCATGTATTTGGGCCCAGTTGCAGATTGGGAAATATTTTTTTGAATAGTGCATAGGTCTCTACTGCAGATGGCATGAACTTTCTCCAGAATCAGGGAGTCAATATTGTGATTCTCCTATTGAGTTTGACCATAATTCCACGAAGTGACTTTTTTTTTTTTTTTTTTTTTACCACAGATGTCTCTGTCCATAGTGTGTGAACCATGTCAACCTTTGATATTACCAGTGTATGGGCTATAGGAATATTCCCAAGTATGGTTTATGTTACTTCCAGAACCTGCAGAGGCTACTACATTTTGAGACAATGACTTATTTTTTATTTTGGAGAGGATATCCGGGTATGCTCTAGACCACTTACTCTGAAAAGCTACACTGTTGTGGAATTCTGAATCATCATAGGATTAATTTTCCTCTAGAGCTCATATGTCTTATTAAGTTCTTCTTGTTCACCTTCCTGCCAACTTTTACTCACTGGATCCAATTAACAGGATATCAATGTGGTGGTCAAATGTTCTTCTGACTACTCAGATGGTCTAGGTCCCAGTGGGAGAATTAACATAGTTCCTGGGCAAGATTATATATTCTTGTCTGTCCCACTTGAATGTGATCCACTTCTGAACTATTTTCCTGATAGTATAGAAAAGATTAAATTTGCCAGTTCAATGACCATATACCATATCTGAGGCTATGTTAATCTGCTCTAGCAAAGATATCACATCTGTGAACCAACTGCAATTGGGGTGACTACTTTGTTGAGTTTATGGTAGTCCACTTTCATCTTCTAGGATCTATTTGGCTTTTGTAGGGGCAAATCTGGTAAACTAAAGGAGATGAATTAATATGAATATGATGGAGACCATGACCCTGCATCACTTAAATCTTTATGTGTAGTACTGATCTCTTCATTCCCTAGAGTGTGATAATGTTTTTTATTTACTTTCTTGGCCTTCTCCATTATATCTCTTATCCCACAGGCCAAGGAACCAATGTGGAGGTTCTGCCAACTACCACATATATTCATTCCAATTACACATTTAAAGACTGAAAAAATTATCGGTGGGTGAGTCCACAGACTCAGTGGATCATTGAGAGTCATATCTGAGCTAAGACTACATTTAATATCTGTTCTTATATGCCCCTACTCTAAAAGAAAGTTATAATGCTGTTCAGGTCACTTAGTATCAGTGTCAACTCAGACTTATGTCTCACAGTCCTCAGAATATTTGGATAATCTATTCCCTAGAATATGATTATACAAGTAGGTACCTTGGTGAAGGTCTGTGGGAATTATTATCATATTCATTTGTTGTGGTGTACTGAGGTCCAAACCTCATTGAGACCTGGTCTCTCCTTCAGTCAATAGGTTCTGGATTTGAGTATTGGTTCAGGTCCAGAAACTGTGTAGGAGATTTATCTTTTTATTGGCAAGGCTGTCCTCAATCTCCTGATCATCTAGCCATGGTTTCTTTGGCTTTTCTAAATTAAACATTATCTGTGGAGGAGTGTGCATCTATTTTTACCTCTAGGAACTGCATTCTAACCATTTCTTTAGCTCTAAGTTGCCTCATGGCTGCCATTCCAACATTGCAGCTTATTATGATAATTGTACCTACTGTGTTTTCTGATAGTTAAATGCTACTACCTAACTTCATTTGTTCTGTGATCCTAACATTGCTATTGTTTTAAGAACCTAGTTCTGTAACATTCCTAGCCTATAGAGGGTAGCTATCACTGAGATGTTCAGTGATGCCACTGAGAAACTTACTGTTAAATGATGTGTCCTGAACCATGAGAGACAATGGACTCTGAAAAACAAACTGAGGGTTCTAAAGGGGAGGGGTGGGAGGATGGGTTAGCCTGGGGTTGGGTATTAAAGAGGGCACGTTCTGCATAGATCACTGGGTGTTACATGCAAGCAATGAATCATGGAACACTACTTCAAAAACTAATGATGTAATGTATGATGTTTAACATAACATAAAAAAAAATAAATGTTGTGTCCTCCCATGGAACATTTTTGGCTGATGAGTTTTTTTTACCTTATGTAGTATAGCCACTCTAGAACATGCACTTCTCTGAGACTTATGATCCCTTCCTCTACTATTTGCCATATTATTTCTACTTAGTGCTGACTATAATTTTTTCCAAGTTTACAAGAACAACTATAGTTCTGTGTTATACTATCTTCTGTGGTCCCTGCCAGGTGATAAATTCAGTATCATAGGAGAATGCTTCCATAGCAATACATTCTTTCCTATTTAACTTCCTACACCTCCGCATTGATCCAGTACTGACAGATTCCAGTTAATAAGTACTCTCTCAATTCCTGAGTACATATGAGTGCATATATGTTGGTGAGGTCCTACAGTTTCTTCAACATGTAGTCACTTTCCTCTCAACAGACCCCACATTTACTCAGCTGGATTACGTCATGACTTTACCCTAATTATTGATCTGAAAGCTCATGAAAGTGTTTGTGGTAGGTCTTTATGAAGAATGCACAGATTTTCCTGCAGGTTAGAGACCTCTGCATTGTCTTCAAACAAGGATAGAATACTAGCTGCTAATAGGGAGTGGGCCACCTTTGCAGTCTCAGAGAGTTCAGGGGAATATGAAGATTCAAGAGTTTCAAGTGAATTAATCCAGATGTCCCCGTCTCATGACTCACAGTCCCATTTTTTTCCCCCAATTTAGGCCCTGACCTTGGAATAGCCAACCTGCCTAAGTTGGGAATTAAACCTCCTTTGGAGCTCTGCCATTCTTATGATTTATTCCTGGGCCTGGTGCTCAGCTTTTTCTGCATCTGCTGCAAGAGGTAAGAATTTATTTATCTGGTGAAGGGGGGAAAGATGGCAGAGGAGTAGGGGACCCTATTTCAACTGGTCCCCAGAATTGAGCTGGATATCTACCAGACCGCTCTGAGCACCCACGAAACCAGCCTGAGATGTAAGAAGATCTGGATCTCTACAGACAGAATATCGCAGGCGGTTGGTTTTGAGGTACGAAGCGGAGAGCCGTGATTCTGCGGGCAGATATTGGAGGATAAATGGCAGCGGGAGGGTGCCTGGCCATGGGGATCCTACACCACTGGTGAGTGACAGCCTCGCTAGCTGTGGACGGGCACAGACTCGCAGACCGGTAGCGTCGGGAAAGGACTTTAGGGCAGCCCCTGGGGTGGAGGACCAGACTGGCAGGGTCACGCGCACACGAACTGCAGCCTCCAAGATGGAAACCCGGTGCACCGGGGTCCCACCAATGAACTGCAACCTCTGGGGTGGAAACCCCGAGCGGCGGAGTCGCGCACACACAAACTGCAGTTCCCGGGACAGGACCCCAAGTGGTGGAGTCTCGCATGCACTGGGAGCGGCTGGTGGTTTTAGAAGCACAAAGGGCAGAGACATGCCCCGACCTGGAGGCAGGACTGGGAGCGCTGCGGAGGGGTGCACAAGCCAGGACACTGCAGTTTATAGCAGCGTGGACAGAAACGGAGACGGTGTGGCCTGGAGAGCTCACTGAAGAACAGACTGAGGTCTCTCTGCTCTGAGGCAGAGGGTTGGAAACGGTCTCTTCTGCTCTGACTTGCAGAAGAGACGCGGAAAGCCACCAGGGAAAGGCGCCAGAGAACAAAAGCCCCAAAGACTGATTCCCACTGAGCCCATCCCC